AACCTCAGCACCAGCCCCAGGAAGGAGGCTGGCCAGCCCCGGGCTGGCCAAGGTTTTTTTCCCCCCCAGTGCCCACACTGGAAAGGCAGCGAGCCGAGATGTCCCCGCTGGAGACCCCGAGGTGCGCAGGACCGATGAGGCCACATCCTGCTCTTACCTGCTGGTGGCTGAGCACTGGTACATGCCCAGAGAAGCCACTGCAAAGCCCTGGAAGAGACCTGCCTTGGTGGAAAGGCTGAGGGACGTGGGGCTGTTCAGTCTGGAGAAGAGAAGACTGAGGGGGATCTTATCAACACTTATAAATCCTTCAAGGGAGGGTGCCGGGGGGGATGGGAACAGTCTGTTTCCAGTGGTGCCCAGTGACAGGACAAGAGGGAACGGGCACAAACGTGACCATAGGGAGTTCCATCTGAACCTGCGGAGGGCCTTCTCTGCTGTGAGGGCGGCAGAGCAGTGGCACAGGCTGCCCAGAGAGGTGGGGGAGTCTCCCCCTCTGGAGCCATCCCAAACCCGCCTGGACGCCGTCCTGTGCCACTGCTGGAGGTGCCCCTGCTCTGGCGGGGGGTGGCACTGGGGGAGGTCCAGAGGGCCCTTCCCACCCCCACCAGTCTGGGATTCTGTGACAAGCCATACCCGCTCTCAGCTTTGGCCCACCAGCTGTGGAAGACAGGAGGACATACCTCGAGGACATACCTTGTGCTGTCCTGGAGAACCTCACGCGCTCAACCCCTGCTCCGTGATGGACCCAGGTGCTGCAGGACCCCCTGGAGCTGGGCTGGTGAAGCTGCTGGATGAGACCATCCACGTGGGGACACAGGAGCCCTCCACACCATGAGCAAACACGGTTGGGGTGCTCCACCAACCACAACTCTGCTCTCTCCCACCCTGCCCCGCTGCCCTTCAGGAGACACCCGACTCACCTTCCAGCAGCTATAACACCAATTAACACCTCCCAGCACCGTATAAAGATTAATTCTACCACCACATAACGAGGTCATTAAAGCTCATTATCCCCACTCCATAGGTGGTTGGGTGGTTGGAGCGAGCCAACCCCTTGGCGTAAGCCCACGTGGCAAAGCGGCACGGCGGGAACACGAGCCCCAGCCCTGCCACCAGCCTCAGCTCTGGGGACCTCCCAGTTGTGGGGACTGCTGGGGGAGCACACCCAGCTTTCTGCTGCCCATCCATGGCCATGGCCGTGGCCCACGGTGCTCTGGAGCCAGCCCTGGCACGCTGCGACCTCTCCTTGCGAAAAGCCCAAGCGAGAGCGAGGAGACGGAATGTTTCAAATAACCCCGGCCATGCAAAACCAGCGTCACGGGTTGTTCCGACTCTGCTCCAGCTCAGCCGTCGCTGGGAATATTTGGGCTGGCCCCGCGCCCTGCCAGCATGGCTGGGACCAGTGTCGCCCCGGGAGCGAAAAAACAGTGCCTTGGCAAGAGACGAGGCACTGAAAGATAGATGCGACGTGTGCTGCCCCATCCCTTCATCCGGTTTAAATTGCGAATAACTCCTCGTGGAGCAAAGCAGCCCTGACCGGGGCGGGGAGGAGGCTCAAGGCGGCAGCGGGGTGCGCGCAGGGCTGCAGGACGTGGGCCACCGCCGGCGTGAAACGGCCTCGAACGGGCCGTCTCGCCTGTGTGCGTGGCGTCTGGGGTCCTCTCCGCTGCTCAGGCTGCCCCGTTCCTCCTTGTCCCCCGCAAACGGCTCTTTCCTCTCTCGCTCCGCAGCGGAGGGAAGCTCAGGCTCGCCGACAGCATCGCTCCCGTTCCCACCGCCCGGGAGATACGAAGTGGCTGCCTCCGCCACCCCCCTCCTGGCAGAGCAGCAGAGAATTTTGTGTTTTGGAAAGTGTTCGAAAGGCAGCAGTGAGTCACGCACAGCTGCAGAGCCTGGCAGGCAGGGCTGGCCCCCGGCCACCCCCCCGGGGTCAGGGCAGCCCCGGCAGCGGCTCAGGGCTGTGGCCGCGTTTGTGGGTTGACGGGTCTCTCTCTCTCTCTCTCCCTCTCTTCCCCCCCAGTATCTCCAGCAAAGAGCTGACCGAGCTCATCGAACGCCTGCAGAAAAATGCCGACCAGGTGGAGAAGAACATCGTGGAGACTGACTCCCGAATGCAAAATGTAAGCGAGCCGTGGGCTCCTCTGAGCAGCTCCGTGTCCCCCCTCCCTGCCAAGCTCCCTCCTGCCACAGCCCTTCCCGCTCCGCTGCGGTCTCCTCTCCTCTCCTCGGGCACGTGTGCATGGTCGCCCTGCCCTGCAGTGCGCACCCGGGCTGCCACGATCCCCAACGGAGGGATGCACGGGTTTCCCCGGCACATGGGAAGAAGGTGGGAGGGTGTAACAGGCGACGGGGCCCCGAAATTCTTCCCTGCCCAGAGGGAAGGGTGTGCAGAGCGGGGAGGTGCATCCCTGACTGTGCATCCCAGTGGGCAGCTGGGACAGAGGAGAAGGGGGTCCTCTGCCCAAAGGGTGGGACGCACCCCGAGGAGACGCACCCCCCCAGCTACAGCCCTTCCTCGGGGCTAACGTAGGCGAGGGGAAAGCAAAATACATCCCAGGAGACGGCAGATCTCCTGGTGCCCAGGGGTAGCGTGGCAGGAGGACCTCGCTCAGGCCTCTTGGGTACCATCTATTGTCCCCCGGTGACCCTTCCCGCCCGCTCTCCGCCTGCCCAGGACTTGCACAAGATCAAGGCATGCCAGCTAGCGCAGTACAAGGACCTGACGGCTCAGAAACTCACCGAGTCCGACAAGCTGCTCTACGTGCTCGATGGGGACGCGGCCATCGCCCGGCACATGAAGCATCCCCAGGGTGACATGATCACAGAAGAGTGAGTACTGGGGAGGCGGGGGGAGACCTGTCCCCACAGCCTTGCGGGGAGGGAGGATGCTTCTCCAGGGGCTCCGCTCAGCTCCTGCCTGCGGCCAGGGGGTCACCATGGGCTCCTGGGCACCCCAGGTCACATCGAGGTGCACAACCCGCAGCCATCCCTGGGCACGTACGCGCCTGCTGGCGGCTGCGCAGGCTCTCCCCCAGTACCAGCCTGCCCCAAGCTGGGGGACGTGCCGAGCAGCGTGCACGGGGAAACCTTTGCCCTCTCCTTCCCCGACCGATTGCACAACGCGGCTGCCACCAGCCCGCCTGGCAGCACTGGCCTCGCCGAGGTCCCCGAAGGACAGTCCCCTCTCCATAGCGGGGCCGGGAGAGCATCCCCTACAGCTGCCAATGCTCACGCTGGCCCGTGCCCGCACCCTGCATCCCACCCTCCTCTTTTCCTTCCCGCAGCATCCGGCAGCTGAAGGAACGAGTGGCAAACTTGCGCGTGAAACACGGCCAGATCTACAACTTCCCCCTGCAGCATATCGAGCCCCAGGTCAACTGGTCAACGGTGATCGAGGAGAAACAGGTACCAAGGGGACCACCGGTGCCGCTGCCTGGCCAGCAGCACCAGCTGGGGACAGGCGGGACCTTGTGCATCTCCCCATGGAGAAACAGGCTCCTGGAAACCTTCCTGGCTGCCAGATAGTGGGAGCAGCAGGGGAAGGAGGTGGGATGCTGGGTGGCAGGGGAGGGTGCGGAGGTGACAAGGACAGTGGCTGTGGCACCAGGAATCGGGGCTCGAAGCGGCGCCACTGGCAGCAGTTGGGCTAAGGGCGAAGCTCGGGAGGATCTGGGGGGCCATGGGGATATGCATCAGCCTGGCCTTCAGGGCATGGGCTCAGCTTCGCCATCGCCCTCCTGGGTGACCTTGGGCAAACCTCTGCCCTTCTCCAGCCAAGGATGGAGACTGCACTCCTCCTCCAGGCCACGTAGTCCAACACCCCACCGTCCTAAGAGTGAAAAAGCTTCTCCTTGTACCCAGTCTGCACTTCCCCCTGTCCTCTCTTGCCCTCCTACCATGTGTAACCACCTTGCAGAGCTGGGCTCCATCTTCTAAACAACCTCATGGGAAGGATGCCGTTAGGTGCTCCCAAAGCCTTCTCCTCCCCAAGGAGAAGCTTCTCCTCCAACAAGCCTCAGCCTCTCCTCTTGGGTCCTTGCCTTGGCATCCCCAGTCACCACCCTCCATGGCCCTTACTCTTTATTTTAGCCCACTCCCTACACTCTTCCAGCCAGAAAAGGGTTAAAACCCCCCAAACTGGCCTCCCCATGGCCACTATCTGGCACGGCTGATTTCACCCACATGCTGCCAACACCAGAGCCCATCTGAGCCCAGGTCCATGTCCACCTCCAAGAGGAGTTTCCCAGGTCTCAGCCGCCACATCCCGTTCCCCCACCACTAACCTCAGCTCCTGTGCGCCGCAGGACGCGTTAAGCAGCAAGGGCTTCGGGACCGACCTGCCGCTGGTCAACAGCCAAGTAGAAGAGCACAACATCTTCCACAACGAGGTCATGGCCATCGGCCCACACATGGCCAAGGAAGGCAACAAGGTCAGCTCTCCTGCCCCTCTCTCCCTGCTGCCCCACGGGGTCGGTCCCATCCCGAGCCACTTGATGAAGGCGAGGGCAGCCCACCATCCAAGCTGCTGCAGCCTGGACCAGGTTGGGTGGGCGCCCAGACCCATGCCTAAGCTTGGAGCTGAGCTTCATACACTGACTCTTAACTTTACAATGAGGCAAATCCCATAAACCCCACATTCCCCCTCCCCGGCCGATTGCACAACGCGGCTGCCGCCAGCCCGCCTGGCAGCGCTGCGCTCCCCGAGGTCCCCAAAGGACAGTCCCCTCTCCATAGCGGGGCCGGGAGAGGATGACCTACAGAATCACCTACACCACCCTCCAGAGACACCCTCCTAACTCTTGCCTTGCTTCTCCTCTCTCACCAGGAATACACGAGCGACTTCCAAGCCAAATACCAGAAGCTGCTGGTAAGAGACCTCCCAGATCCTGGCGGGGCAGAGCCCTTGGGCAAGGGTCCCTTGCCAGGGTGACCAGACGCCCTCAGGGGACCTGTGGAGAGGAGGTTTGGGCTGAGCTCTCCCCTCTGCCCCTTCCCAGGCCGGTTCCCAGCAGCGGCAGCAGGATCTGAACTCCCTGCAGGACTACATGCAGCGCTGCACCAACAAGCTCTACTGGCTGGATCAGCAGGCCAAGGACAGGACCCATTACGACTGGAGCGACCAAAACCTGGACTACCCCAGCCGGCGCCGCCAGTACGAGGTGCGTACGCGCTCCGCCTGCAGCCCGGCCCCATGCCGGCTGGGCGCTTTGCAGCACAGGGAGGTGGGCAGGGAGGCAGGGGGAGCGGGCTGGGGGGTTGGATGGGGGCAAGGAAATGTCCCTCCCCCCCGTGCCTCAGTTTACCCCCGGCTCCATCACGAAGCACTTCGAGATGTACGTGGTATAGTAAGGATGAGTGCTTGAAGCGTAAGGAAAATCCTTACCTCCTGCCAGAAGTAAAGCAATGAGGAAGCTCTCGAGCTTCCTCATTCTCCTTTCCCTTATCTCAGCGTTCACCTGGCAAGAGTCACATCTTTAGCAAGGTCTGCAAGGGAAGGAAAAGCGAGAGCTGCAGTGGGGGAACACCACCCTTTCTGTCTTGTGGAGCTCTTCAGGCCCTTCCAGAGTAGCTCAGGCGCAGGACACAGCCAGGGTCCCCTCTCTCTGCCTGGGAATCAGTCTCTTGCCTCTCTCCATCTAGAACTTCATCCACCGGAAGCTGGAGGAGAAGGAGGAGGCCATCAACAAGCTGCATACAGATGGAGATCAGCTGCTCGCCCAGAACCACCCAGGGAAGAACGCCATCGAGGTGAGCATCAGGGACGGGCTCCAGCTTCCCCGCCTGCCCCGGTGCTCGGGGGACTCGCCCAGCCCTTCTCCAACACGGGACATGGTGCCAACACGACTCTTGACTTTACTTCCCGGGATGCCAAGTGGGGAAAAAGTCTCCTTTACCTGCAAGTGGGTAAACACCATCGGAGGAGCCAAGATAATCCTAAGGAGCTCTTCCCATGTCCCTCATTCCTGTGGCGATTACCCTGCGCCTGCCTACAAAGGATAAATTATGGTGGCAGATGCCACCTTTGATGGGAAGATGGACATAAGGCCAAAGGATTTGCCACCTCCTTATACCCATCCCCACGCTCCCATCGGAGCTTTGGACTAGCTTTCCGGTATTCCTATCCTGAGCATCTGGGCAGCTGCAGAGGCACCCAAGGAGTTGTCTGCTCAAGAGGGATATGGGCTCTTTCCGGTGGGCAGCGCAGGCTCACCCCTAACAGGGGTTGTCCTGCTGACGTCCACCTCCCACCCCTGCGTTGCAGGCTCACATCGAGGCGGTGCACGCCGACTGGAAGGAGTACCTCAACCTGCTGATCTGCGAGGAGAGCCACCTGAAGTTCATGGAGGACTACCACAAGGTACCGGATCCCCAGGGGGAGTGAGGCACTGCGTGCTCTGCGCAGTCCGGAAAGTCGGTGGTGGGTTGCAGGAGACCCCAGCAAACATACAAGCTCCTGCTGCTCTAGAAACAGGGTAGAAGAGATTTAGTCCTCTGGTCTACGGGGGCTTTTAAGGCTAGAGAGGACCACTTTGAGTTGATAACACAAGTCATAATTGCTCAAGCGCCAAACACAGTCAGTAATTGCTTGGCCAAAGCATAACTTGCGGAAAGCGTCCGCTCCAGCACTGAGGTTCAGGGACAGGGAGCTGCTGGAGAGAGTCCAGCGAAGGGCAACCAAGATGATTGAGGGATTGGAGCATCTCCCTTGTGAGGAAAGGCTGAGAGCGCTGGGACTCTTTAGCCTGGAGAAGAGAAGGCTGAGGGGAGACCTTATTAGTGCTTACAAATATCTAAAGGGTGGGTTGAAGGAGGATGGAGCCAGACTCTTCTCGGTGGTTCCCAGTGACAGGACGAGGGGCAATGGGCACAAGTTGGAACAGAGGAAGTTCCATTCAAACACACGGAAAAACTTCTTTACGGTTGGGGTGACAGAGCACTGGAACAGGCTGCCCAGGGAGGGGGTGGAGTCCCCTTCTCTGGAGATTTTCAAAACCCGCCTGGATGCAGTCCTGAGGGATGTGCTTTAGGCAATCCTGCTTTAGCAGGGGAGTGGGACTGGATGATCTCTAGATGTCCCTTCCAACTCTGTAAATTCTGTGATTCAAGAGCCCCTCAAGGACACCCAGTGTTGGCATCCTTGTCCGTAGGACAGCAGAGATCTCTCGCAGAAGGGACCTCACGCCCAAAACAAGGCACGGGGAGACCTCGCATGCTCCTCTCGAAAGCAGAACAGGTCCGAGCGGGGGAAACTCTGCAGAAAGCAGAGTTGGCCCCTCGGGGAGCCCCGCGCGAGGGCTCAGCACCCCGACGGAACTCAGCAGACAGATGTCTGCTGGATAAATTGCATCCGACAGCCAGGGAGGCTCTGCAGGGGAGCAGGTCAGGCTGGATTCCTCTCCCACAGCCTGGGCGTGTTGCCGTGATGAGTCTCTTGCCAAAACTGAACCGCGGTGCCCAAGCCCAGGCAGCGCCTTTTGTGGGTATCTGCCAGAATAACTGCCCCGGGGGGTGGTTTGTGCGGGGAAGGGCTTGGCTCTGCCTTCTCCCTGGCGCTGGCCATGAAGACACCGCGCACCGTCATGATGCTCTCCGAGTGATACAAAATTGAGGGCAGGGAAAGGTGGGATTTAACAGCTCTGCAGGAGAAGACCGTGGAATAAGCTGCCCCCGGTTGTCTTTCCCCAAGCTCTGCTGTCCCAAGCATGGGAAATAGCAATTCCTCACCTTTCTCCACGCACTTCTGAGCGCTCAGATGCCCGTCGTAGCTCCTGGTGGCTGTCCCCACTCTAGGCAGCGCGAAGACCAGGGTGCCGGCTTGGGTCTGCTCCGTGTTTCAGCCGGACCCTCTCTCACAAGATTCTGCTTTTCTGCAGTTTCAGAAAGACGCTAAGGACGCGCAGGAGCTCTTGAAGAAGGTGGATACAGACCTGGACCAAAAATTCAGCCCAGAGTTCAAGGACAGATACCAGCTCGAGTCTCTCCTCCGGGAGCTGGATGTGAGTATTGGTGCGGGCAGGACCAAAGGGGAGGCAGCAGCAGGAGCCGGTGTCCCTACAACACCCATGGAGGGACATCCCTGATGGAGGAGGCATCTAGCCCAGCTTTCTCTATGGCAAGCAGCAGGACCACGCTGTGCCTGGCCTTCACTCCACTCTTCCTTCCCCTCTAGCTAGAGATTGCCTCTCCCATAGCAACGTAATTGCTCACTGGGCTGGTTTTTATTTGTTCTCTCATTGAGTTAGCACTCATTAAGGGCGGGAGCATAATTAGACCTGCTGCCGGAGGAGGTTGTGGAACTCGCTGTGCTGCCTAGAGCCGGGATGCGAGATCGCCCACTCGGGAAGGGCTGTGCTGAGCCGAGCCGCTTGCCCGGCCCAAGCCCAAGCATGCCGGAGCAAGCCCCAGTGATGCACGTGTCCCGGGCCAGCTGATGGCTCGTCCCCCGAGAGCCGTCCCTCTCCTGCACGCTCCGCTCCATCCCACGCAACATTGCGGAATACCCACCTGCACAGCTAGAAATAGAGCGACCGCTGGAGAGCCTTTTCCCGGGGCTCTAATCAGAGCTGGGAATGGGGCTACCCATCAACACGCAGCCAGGCAGATGTGGCCCATATACCAGGGAATGCCTGTCACTGGCCGGTGGCTAGTGCCAAGGCACGGCAACTCATGGGCACAGTCCCAGCCTGCAAAAGCAGGCAGGAGGGTGACTACACTTGGTGTAGGAACACGATGGCTCCAGAGCAGGACCCAGGAGGTGTTTTCACTAGCACAGGCAAAGGAGAAGCCACAGTCTCTGTCCCAAGTGTTGGCAGGAGCTCCTCCCCAGCCCTTCCCCAACTGGCAGAGCCCAGGAGCTCGTTCTTCCCACATTTCCCTACTGGTTTTGGTCATTATCCCATTCTAGGACCAGGAGAAGGCCTTGGACAAGTATGAGGCGGTGGTGAAGTCCCTGCAGGAGCGCAGCCAGCACGTCCTGCCCCTGCGGTACCGCCGCGAGACGCCACCCCAGCCTGTCCCCGTGGAGGCTCTCTGCGAGTATGAAGGCGAGCAGGTACCATCGCCCTCCTCCTCCCCCTGCGCCATGCGGAGATGCTGCTGGGAACCATCTCCTCTGGGGGCACTGGGAATAGAAGAGGCACCTCGAGCAGTTCTTGCCAGTGCCCAAACGGCGATGTCTCCCGCAGCGGGGACACGGCGAAGGTCAAGCTCGGCTCCGGTGGGAAAGCGGGTTTGGCAGCTCAGGAGGAGCAGGGCAGGAAGGGTCCGGGGGAAGCGCAAACCTCCGTCTGCCCTGCGGACAGCATGCCTATCACACACCCTTCAGGAGGTTGCGACAGCCCGGCTCCGTCACGTTCCCATGCTCCCTGCGCTGGGGCGGCGGAGATGCCCGGGCACATCTCTGAGCCAAAAAACTCACCCCGCCGTCCCCAGCACAGTCCCGGCGGGCACATCTGCGTCCCCGCCGTCAGGGTATGTCGGTCTTTCGCAGGACTGAATAGTTGACCGAAGGGATGGGGCAGCAAAGCCGGCGGACGGCACGGGAGCAGCAGGGGCCTGGAAAGGCGCGAGCAGCTCCGGCTGACTCAGCTGCTGGCCGCTCTGCTCCGCTCCGAGCGGGAAAGCCACGGCACAGCCTCGGAAACGCCTTCTCCTCTCTGCCCTAGTGGGAACTGGTCTGCCCTGGCTGTTGCAAGAGGAGGCATGGCTTCATACCTGGAGGCTCGGGGGAGGGAGGAGCGGGGATTTCTGCAAGTGGCAGACACTTGGAGAAGCGGGAGGGTGCCGAGAGAAGGGATTGGGGTTTATGCCGGTCCCGCCACCCCGCAAGTGCGTGTCCCCGGGGGCTGCCGGCGCGGAGGGGGCAGGTGGCGTTTCCTGACCTGCCGCTGCGACCGGTTCCCTGTTCCCCAGGGCCAGATAAGCCGAGGAGCCCACTACACCCTGCAGAAGAACACCGGAGATGTTTGGGAAGTGGCAGACAGCTCAGGAGACAAGATCAGCGCCCCGGGGGTCTGCTTCATGATCCCCCCGCCTGACCCAGATGCGATAGCGCTGGCGGACCAGTACGTGCCCCCCCAGCCTTTGCCATTGCCTTCCCCAGCCCCAGGCCACCCCACCAGTGCTGCACCCCCCCAGTCTGGCAATGCCGACGGCAGCAAGGTGCTCCTGCCCCGATTCGAGCAGCGAAGCCATGTCTGCTGGAAGCCTCAGGCTTCCTCCAGGAGGGATTCCTGCACCCTCCTGCTGGCACACAAGATCCCACCGGGCAAAGTGGGGCCAGCTCAGAGCCATCCAGGTCCCCCCCTCCTCTGGAGGGCCATTACGTTGCGGGGGGAGCTGCCCATCCCTCCCCTCAGCAGGCGGGTACCTGCCTTTGTCTGCCTCTCCTCTGCTCTCACCCCTCCGGTGAAGACACCGCTCTATCCTTTTGCCACATGGGGTGAAGGTGCCTCTCCCCCATGTGCTTCATGGCTGCCGCGAGGGACCAGGTCCCACGAGCTCCTCCAGAGTTGCACCTCCTCCCTGGAGCCGCGATAGGATGGGCGATGCAGTGAAGGAGGGTCCAACTCCGACCTGGTGCCCACACTGTCCCGTTTTGCAGAATTGCCGATCACTACTCAACCGTGAAGGAGAAGACGGCCAACTGCAAGAACATCCTCCAGCAGCGCTACGAGGGGCTGAAGGCAGACAGCATCGGAGGTATGGCTCTGGAAGGGCACGAAAAGGCTGCTGTAGCCTTCAACTTAGGTGGTGGCCCACCTCAAGGGGGACGTCACCATGAGCTTCCCATCCTCTAAGGGTCCCGGGGACTACGGTGCTGGGATGCGTGCAGGGGCAGAGCAGGCAGAGCTCGGGGAGCAGAGAGGGATGCGGGTTTTGCACTCACCAGCGGGACTGAGCCTAGACCCGGCTTCCAACTGGGTCTAACCTGGTCCCCCCTCCCCAATATCCAGATGCTGCATCGGTTCGGGGGCGCCAGCTTCTGGCAGGGCTGGAGAAAGTCAACAGCGACCTGGACAAGCAGGAGAAAGCAATAACGGCAAACCTCCGTCCACCGCTGGAGCAGAGCCGGGCTGTGCAGGACAGCACCGAACGCTCCAAGGACCTGAAGGTAGGGGGCTGTGGAAGCAGACAGACGGTGCTGCACAGGGACCATGCTCCCAGGGGCTCTCCAGGGTGGTCCTCAGTATGGTGGGTGCTGTAGGCGCTCCCTGAGCTTGGGAGCACGCAGGCACGGAGCGATGCTTACGGCTGGCTGCTGCTTCCAGTGGAGATGGGGAGCAGCCTTTCGAGCAGCCTCAGAAGCCAAAATCTATGCCCTGTTCTTGGCCCAGTTCGGTCACAGGAAGGTTGAACAGGGAAAAGGTGATGGCTGCATAGAGGGGAGCCCTCACGTTTTGATCCTGCCCATACTCTGAGCACAGCAGGGACATTCACTTTGCCACCACCATCACCAGCTCAGAAAGGAGCAGGAAAATGCTTATGGTCCAGGGGACTGTTTCTCCTTGTGGACCTGCCCCGCTAAGCTCTGGTGCTG